GGGTATCTCCACCACAGTTCTCTCTTGGTGTAGGAAAGGAAGTATTAATATTAAATAGTTTTAATTAAAATTTAAAGAATAGGCAAATACTTATTTCTCCAAATATCCTTGAGGACCAAAAACAAGATGATAATTCAAAAAAATAATATATCATACAAACAAATGTTTTTGAATAGGATAAAATCTAACTTAAAAGCAAAGAGTTTCGATTAAGAAAAGAACAGCTCCCATCTTAATTATAAACTCTTTATTATTTGGCATTTACATATATAAAGTATATATTTAAACCGAATATTTTATATAAACTCTAGGAAGGTGTTCCAAATGAAAAATTATGATTCTAAAGTAAAACGATCGGGATACATCAAAGACGCATGTGATTCAGTGCCAAATTTACAATCACATATCTAATATGTCACAATCTTTTTATTTCAAAAAAATGTCCACATAAGGACTCTGAAGTGGGCAATTACCCAAAGGATAAATGATTTTCATTACGTAGAACACGAAAGGGACATGATGAAAAATAAAGATTCTTCAGAATTTCTTTATGGAGTTGCTAGTAAGACAGCAGAACCTAAAGCTATCAGGACCTGTCCAAGTAGTATATTTGTATTAAATATGCCGTTATTCCTTGTGTTGTAGAGGTGATCTGTCAGCCATGTTTTGTAGAAGGACGGCCCACTGTAGACACCAGGAAAATTTTTTCGACCACAGCCATATCCGTAACTGGTAATTCCCATTACAAAAAATTGTTTATGTTCTGGTAAGTAGCACATTAATGGTCCACCACTATCACCCTATTTAAAAAAAGTCCCAAAATAGCATTAGTTATTTCTAATAATCTTTTTATAATAGTAAAGCTGGAATAAATTAATCATGTTAACCATATTTATATAAATATGCATTTTTAATATACTTCTAAGTTATAAAGATCGATAGATTTTCAGTTTTCCAACTCAAACAGGAATTCGATTATATTCAGTCTGGCCTGTTATTTAGAGGAACCATATAGCTGGTGGATAAACCTACCATCTGCATAGTTTTGAACCAGAATACTATAAATCAAATTGTTTGGATTTCTTTTAGTACAATTAGGAGAAATATAATGTAGGATGTGTAGCAAATATTGTGAATACTGTCTGTTAGAATACCTCTGCTGATGCCGTTTGCGAAAGGTATGATTTTAAGATAAAGGCAGGAGTCTTTTAGGGCTGGGGTGTATGTGGATCGCTAGCTAGAAGAGTACACTGGCATCTATCTAAATGATAACATTGGCTAGTGCAGAATATCAGGAATAAATGGCTAAGCCTCTCAATAGTATACAAGTTAACAAATATCCATCCTAGTTTATACATGACTGTCAACGTACCAACCAAAACACTATTACTAAGGATGGTTAATCACTCAAAACGACAGGGACGCGGAGCTGTTACAGTGCCTACAGGTTAAAGACCATGTTTCTAAGATATTTTCACATTCTCTCTTTAAGGTAGGCATTGAATAATTATTTTTTGACAATGAGAATGTTTTGCTTGTGCATGTGATTAAATTAGATTGGATTCTTCACTGTTTTACTCAGAAAGATTTTTAAGGAAAAGGACACAGGAAAGATAAACCTTGGACTGCAAAAATCAGAATGAGTAGGAAAAGATCAGAGTTTGCAGTACTGCTTGGGAGTGAGGTGCTGGTGGATTTAGAAGTAGTAAAGAAAAGAGGAATAAAGATTCAAAACAGAAGAATAGGTAAAATTTGACTTCATCAAAAACTAAAGAACTTTTATGCTACAAACGATAACATTAGGAAAGTGAAAAGACAGTTCACAGAAGGGGAGAAAATATTTGATTTGCTAACCGCATACCTGGTAAAGGACTTGATCCAGAATATATAAAGCTTATGATTTAATAATAAAAAGATAAATAACTCAATTTCAAATGGGTAAAGGATCTGCATAAACACTTCTCCAAAGAAGATAGACAAATGGCTAATAAGCTCATGCAAAGATGTTCAACATTATGAGTCATTAGGGAAATGCAAATTAAAACCGCAATGAGACATCACTTCATACTCACAAGGATGGCTATAATCAAAAAAGACAGACAGTAAGAAGTGCTGACAAGGATGTGGAGATACTGGAACTCTCATACATTACTGGTGAGAATGTAAAATGGTGCAGCCACTTTGGAATAGTTTGGTAGTTCTTCAAAATGTTAAATATTGACTCGGCAATTCCACCCCTAGGTTAAATTTCCATGAGAAATAAAAACATACCTACACATAAAAACATATACACAAATGTTTATAGTAACATTCGTAATCGTCAAAAAGTGGAAATAGCTCAAATGTCCATCAACGAATGAGTGGAGAAATAAAATGCGGCCTATCCATACAATGGTATATTATTCGGCAATAAAATGAATAAAGTATTAATACATGTCACTATGTGGATGAGCCTTGAAAACAGTATGCTAAGTGAAAAAAGCCAGTCACAAAAGACCACATATTGAATGATACCGTACATATGAAATTTCCAGAATAGGCAAATTTATAGAGATTAATGGTTACCTAAGGCCGGGGTGAGTGGGAGGAGAATGGGGAGTGACTCATTAATGGGTGGAAGTTTCTTTTTGCGGTGACAAAAGTGTTCTAAAATTAGATTATAGGGAGTTTAGAGAAACATGGCAGAGTGAGAGACGTTCCCCGATCTCTCCCCTTGAAACAACAATAAGCCGAACATTAAAACTCGACAAAAAACACCCAAACTGCACACTAGCACGTCTGAGCGTGGGATCTATGCATAAGAGCTACCACAGGTCAGAACCCTAGGTGTCGGAGGTGGACTGGAAGAAATAAAGAAACTGACTCTCGCTGTCGGAAGATGGGGAGGGGAGATGGCGTGGCGAGGTCCCTGAACAGCCCTGCCTGGGAGTGCTGTGAGCTCCATGTGGCCAGCGGCAGGACCCAGTCATCGGGGCAGAGAAGTGATGGCAGAGAAACAACAATTGATTTTTACCGGCTGCGGTTGCAAAACCGAGACTGAGCCACAGCCCCCAACCCTCAACATCAAACATGATATTAAGCTACCAGAGCTTTGCCCCAGAAGTATTGTGCCCATTCAGGTACTGTATATTATCTATTCGTTTGGTCTTCCTGCAATAACCCTTCCTCTTGACTCAGGCTAATGTGGGTAAATGAACATCCTGCATACTTAACTTTTCTCCAGATGTGCTTTTACATTTTAATTTAAATACATTGGTGAATTCTTATGCATTGCTACTCTTAATAAATAAATACTTTGCATTGCTTTTTTTCAAGCAACAAATATTATATTTTAGTTCTCTCAGAGTAAGATTAGAAAATTTTGGAACCTATTGAGTATGTGAGTAAAGCTGTTTCAATTTAAATACTTCAGTTAATCTATTTTTCATGCTGAATATACATTAAAAGAGTGGAATCTTTCCAGTAGCTTGATAAGAATTATCTTGTATATAATCGACATGAAGGATGACATTTCTTTTTCAGATGGTCTTTGTAGGATGACATTCTATGCCAGTTGTCCTCGATTTTCCTAACTTTCATGGAACATATTAGATCCAGTTGCTGGAATATTTACTTTAGTGGAATATAATAGTTGGATTCTTTCCTTGCCTATTTTCCAAAGAGGACAGTGTTGACCAAAATAGATGAACTTGGTGACACTAGAAGAACCTCATAATAGGTACAAATGACAACTTTTAAAATAATTACCTATGCCAGTGGAGAAAAGCATATATAATACACAGAACAGTGGGTTAATATCTAGAACGCAAACGTATTTTTAGATATTCCTACATCTTTCCCTTCCTCAAATACTAGACTTCACCTTCCTGTCAGAATAACCTTCACTACAGTAAACATCAAGGAACTGGAAATAAGTATCGCAGATCATCTTATAGTGCATTCTTGATTTCATTTCAGTGAATGCTTTTTTGTTTTCCTTTCTAGGCTTAGACTCACAACAGTTATAACTTCAACAAAGTTTAGTTAATTTTTTTAGAACCGTAGGGCAGTTAGGAATTTAAGATCACAGGCACACTTAACATTTGATGTCTACTTTGGTTCTTTGTGTTTTCTTTTCTTTCTTTCTTTTTTATTTTTTGGGTTTTTTTTTTTTTTAGTTTAAACACCCACCTGAATTTATTAAATCCAGACTGTGTTATTCTTGTGTTTCCTACCAGATAAGCAATAGCACGTCTGGAGTAAATCTTTTCACTCCCACAATATTGTCATCTGGGGGAAAAGGGATTTTTTTTTAGCAATTACCTTTGTATTCCTAGAAATACTTCCAAGAAATATAAAAATGAATGCACAGATATTTAAATGTTAAACATTTATGTTTGTGGTAAAATAGTCAAGTTTCTGATGAACCAAATTTAAATAACATGACCATTCTCCTGTGATGTAATTGTTGCCCATTCTAAAAAGGAGTTTATGAAAGCCTTAATTACCTTGCCTTATTGGGGGATAATTAAGCAATGAATAGACTGTCACATTTAATATGGATATAGAAAAATTTTCTGTAGCCACTATTAACTCCTAATTTTCAGACTGGTTTGGCATAATATAGGTTATTTTCTGCAACTAACTATAAAATAAACATTTTAAAGTCAAAAGATTGTATCCTAGGTTCTGAAGGATATTGACAAGGATATTTTTAAATTAACTGTGATTGTTGATTTGGCATATTTGACATTGTATTGATTATTTTCTGCCACTAATTACAAGATAAAAATTTGTGAGTCGGAAAACCATGTCCTATGTTCTGAAAGGCATCAGCAAAGATATTTTTCAGTTGACTATGATTGTTGATTTGGAAATTAACTTCTTAAACAATTACTATACAAGGCTATGAGAATTCTGTCTAATACTTCTGCAGTATAATTTGCTACATATTGAAAATTCATTCTTCATAATAGTTTTCAGAAGCCTTCTTGTCTTTTTTTTTTTTTTTTTTTGTAGCTTCATTTTTTGGATACACCGAAGAATCGAGGTCTAATGTAATCCTTATACATAGAATAAAGAACACCTAGAAACAAAAAGATATATGTCAATAGTGTATCCATGAGAAACAAACACTGAATTTCTTCTACTTGCATTTTTCCAAAACTAGTCCACAATTTAAAAACAAACAAACACCATTCATCTTATTAATTTTTGGCTTGATTCATACAAATGGCTCCAGAAAAAAACCAAAAAAGCAAAACTAAGAGCCACTTAAGTTCAGTATAAATCTGAATTTATGATGTTTTTATTGCCATCCTAAAGTCTGAATTTTAAAATATTGGTAAAAATGTTAGGGAAGTGGAAAGATTCAGCTAGATATTAAGATAAAAATAATAGACACCTCAATTTAGCAAACATCTATTCAGTGTCTACTTGTGCTCAGTATCTTGAGGAAAACAGAGGTAAATGGATTTAATCCCTGCTTGTAGGAATTTACAATCTAGTGGGTGAAATAGTTATGAGTTTAGGCAGATGAGAGACATATGTCTTTCCATAAGATAAGGTCTCCTAGGGCCTTACAGAAGGGCAGAAGTAGCCTGAGGAACAGAGGAGCTGCTCCTATGAATTCCAGGGTTATCAGCAAATGTTTACACTCAAAGCAAGTTAAGAAGTCACAGATTTAAACTACAACTCAATCCCTCTCTCAGCTGTATCAATTATCAAAGCATCATCTATCTAGTAGATTGTCTAAACTAAATACTTCAGTTTCCTTCCTTTTTTTTCCCTGACACTGCTTATTAATATCTTCAAAGAATGCACAGAAGGTCAGTAAGTTAGTTCTTATCTCAACATGATAGCAAAGTGAGGCAGATGTCTGTATAATTTTCTAAAGAAATAGTATTATAACTATCGTAGATGCATAAAATTCAAGACAAAAATATTTAAACTTGAATCATTGTGGTATCTACGGAAATAACATTCTCAGATTCAGAGAGAATTATAGGACTTATTTCCCTGAGCCCCTTAGACACTGATAATTCTTACTTCTCGCCTACCTCTTAAATGTTGATGTGCGCTGGAGTTCTGAGTTGTCTCACCTCATTCAAACCTGTTGCTTCACTGGTAAGCAAGTTAGATCTCTAAGTTAGATGTCTTCTGAGTGTGAGACCCATATACATTCCTTGTACCATATATGATATTTTCATGTCCCACAGGTAGTTGGTCTCTAAACTTTTAAATCGTGCATCAGTAAATTCGTTGAGCATGCCCCTCAAGATGTGCATTTATTTAAAAGCAGTATAAATGTATTAGGGTCAGTCTACATAGTAGTAAAGCTTTTTCGTTTTCAAGATAACATTCTGTTCCCACATCCCCATGGATCTCTTTATACTTGTCCTAGGGTATGAGTACTCTAATTTGGAGATACCTGCCATAGGCATCTCAGTCAGTATAATATAAAATTAAGGGTTCTAGGCTCTGGAGTAGATTGCCCAGGTGACTGTGAACAAGTAAGGTATCCTCTCTAAGCCTCAGTTTCCTTATCTGTAAAACAGGTAATAAGGGTACTTACCTCATAGAGTTTTGTTTAATAAAGGCTTATCTGGTCTTTGTTCCTGATATAGATCTTCTAAAATGCTTGGAATTTCCCAAATAATAGGAGTATGTCTAAGAGGTCCTTGGGTCGTACCTGAATTTATGCTAATGAGGTGACTCGTGGTGGGCTCTTAGCTTAAAGATGTGGCTAGTCAGCCAGAAAGACTAACCATATGACCAGAGGGCTCTTAGATCTCCAGAGAGGGGAGTAGGACTGGAGGTTGAATTCAGTCACCTGGGAGGGATGGGGTAGTGATTTAATCAACCATGCCTCCATATTGCAGCCCCAATAAAGCTCTGGACATTGAAGCTCAGCGGAGTTTCTTGGTTGGTAAACAGCTATGCTGGGAGGGTGATTGTGTCCTGATCCCATAGGGAGAGGTCATAGAAGCTCTGAGCTTGCGACCCTCCCAGACCTTCCCATCTGTGTTTTTATTTGTCTGGTTCTGATTTGTATATTTTATGATGAAACTGTAAGTATACTGCTTTCCCGAGTGAAATGATCAAACCTGAAGAGGTCTGGGAATGCCCGAATTTGTAGCTAGTTAGAAGTTCAGGTGGCCTGGGAACCCCAAAGGCTGGTGTCTGAAGTAAGGGCAGTCTTTTTGCAAACTATGTCCTCAAACATGTGGTATCTGATGTGAGCTCCTGATGGTTAGCATCAGTACTGAATTGTATGGCAGCACACCAAGGGGTTTCAAAATAGGTATTTATTAAGATTAGTGAGATTTACTACATAAAGCAGTTAGGGTGGCTTGTACACCATAAGCACTTACTAAGTGTTAGCTATTATTGTTTTGTCCAATATGCACTCATCCTCCCACCAAACCTGTTCTTTCTTCTCTGTTCTTTGTATTAGTGAAAGGCAGACCTTTCATCTGGTTGTCCAAACCAGAAACCTAGAAATTATCCTTGATTCCGCCTGTCTTACTTTTCCCACTCAGTTGCCGAGTCCTCAATATTTCTAGAATCCATCTCCTCCTATTTCCACTGCCACTGCCTTAATTCAGATCCAATTCATCATTTAATTAACTTCTCTGTCTTTATTTTTTTCTCCTCATCTGCAGATCATCTCTAATCATTTTCTTTTTCCTCAACATTTTTTTCATGGTGAAATATAATATGCATGGAAAATTGTACGTAAAACTTAAATGACCAAATTAACAAGTAGTTGTAGAGTGAAAGCTGTAATTGTGGGTCAAGAAATAGAATACTGCAGGCATCCTAGAAGTCTCCCAGGTTTCCCTTTCTGACCACATACCCCTCCCTTTTCCATAGGTAACCACTGTTCTGAGTTTTATAATAGTTTTCTTCCTTTATAGTATGACCATCTGTTTAGTATTCCTAAACAGTGTCACATTGCCTGTTTCCAATCTTTCTATTAAGCAGCTATCTTTCTAAACTGCCATTCTGTTTCTGTTACTCCCCCGTTTAAAGCTTTTTCTGGCTGACTTCATCTTATCACTTTTCAGCTTGCAACCATAAAAATCTACTGGGGATTTGTTTTATATAATTTAGCTAAGTTTTAGCTGTTTTCTAGAATTCGCTTCTCTGCATAGTTCTGTGTTAGTTTGGCTCAGGAGATGTTTTGCTTGAGACTTGAAGGTGAATGCTGAAGCATCAGCTGTCTTATCTTTTTTTTTGCACTTGGAAGGTTTGGCGCAGGGCATCTGGCACTGTTACGGCTTGTGCGTGTTGTTTATCTGCTAGTTCACTACACTGTTGTTGGGCAACAGTCAGGCGCACAGATCTTTCATCTCCTTTTGGATCTCCTCCTCTAGCTTCTCTGGCTCCTTGGCCAAGTGTGCATTAGCTCCGTGACAGAATCGGCCGATTCTCTTATAGGTCACACCATGAGCAGAGTTGGAGTTAGTCAGAGACTGACTGAAGTTTCAGCTATCCTTGCAGATTCCAGTTTATTCTTTCTTCTCACTTGCTTCCTTGCTAATGTCAGTCCCCAGCAATAGAAATATACGCCTAACATGAACTGTTCAACCAGCTCCCACAATTGCATAAGGTCAGATCTCTATAATAAATCCCTTTTTATATATCATCTCTGGTGGTTTTGTTTCTCTGATTAAACTCTGACTGATACAGAATTTGTATCGGAAGCTTCCAGAGTTACATAACCACGAAGGTACGTTCCTTTTTTCCCTTTAGTTGGAAGTTTTAATGTCAAAGTAAGGTCTTAATCCTTTCACAGAAATAAGGCAACTTTATGCTGTAAATAGGTTAGAAACATAATCATGAGGATAGGTTCTTAGAATTGGTTCTTGGTTACCTGAAATTGATTCTCTGGTCTGATTAAAGGTATTAATAGCCATTTTTACAGGGATAAAGAGGATGCTAGCAGTCCATGGCATGCAGTAGCAAAACATTTTTTAAAAATTATCACCTGTAGATACCCTTAATCAGGTGCCTATAGGAAGCGAGGCTTTGGGTGATCAAATATTTACTTCCATAGATGTCTAGTGGAAATAAAGAGTATAAGGTTGATTACTTCTAAGTGTGTTGGAGAACTTGGGAAAACAAAATGATAGGCTCAAGGCTTCTAACTCCTAGCTCAAGGTCTTACGAGGGACCTGAAATCTTTATGACTTTCCAAAAAGAAAGTCTTAACTCTTGTAGTCATGAGGATGCTATTTTTGAAAAATATACACAGGGGCTAATCCTGTCAGTGGCTAATCACAACACAAATTAAATTCCCAACCTCATAAAATCTCTTATGTTAAAGTTAAGGCATTGCATTGGAAGGAGTTTGACCCTGAAAACTGGGATGAAGACATATGGGCAGATTTCAGTGAAACTGGGTCCTTGACCCCCTTTATTTTACTGAGACTCTTTTGCCAATAGAAACAGTCCTTCCATCGCTGCCTGAGAATGACTGAAACTTGGACCAAAAAATCTCCACTAAATGAAGTTGAAATGCCAGAACTTCCTTGGTCCATACTTCTGTGGTAGAGCAGTGATTTTTCTTTACTGGGACAATTTTGCTCCCCAGGTAAATCTGGCAATGGGTGGAGATATTGGCTGTCACACTGGCCAGGGAGGGGTGGGTACTATTGGCATCTAGTGGGTAGAGGCCAGGGATGCTGCTAAATATCCTATAATGCAAGGACAGCCCTCCACAACAAAGAATAATTCAGTCCAAGTATCAATAGTGCTGAGATTGAGAAACCTTGCCATAGAGGAAGGTATCCAAAGGCTTAGGGAGATTTGAATGTTAGAGTGGGGTTATCCTGCTCACTCACACCCTAGTCCCTTCACCGAGGCTGTGAGAAATACATTTGTGAAGGGAGCCCTGGAATCTTTGAAGAGTTTTATGGTGACTATTTCCTGTAAGCCAGAAATGCCAGTGGGAACTGCGGGGCTCCCTGAATTCAGTGAGAGTGATGGGATTCTGTGGTGGCAGAAGTCAAACAGCAGTATTCAACTGACAAGGAAAGCACAATTACTGTAACTGGCAGCAAATTCAAAGCAGTAATCAGAATAGTCTAGGCCACCAAGATCTTTGGCATTGGCTAATTGATTATGGTGTCCCTAGAGTTGAAAATGGTGGGCAAAATATAAGCAGAAAAACTATAGGTTTGGTGAACAAATCCTTGACTGGAATCATTACAGGGGAGAGCCATGGCCCCTCAATGAATTCCCAGATTTTAGTCAAGTCACAGACCTGAAGTCCCCTGAATGAAGGAGAGTTCAGATCTCCCTAAAGAAAGGCCCTGTTACATAGCCAAAAGTGTAAATACTATAAATCCTCCTTCTAGCCTTCCCCAAAGGGACCTGTGGCCATTCACCAGGATGCCTGTACACAAGGAAGGGGAAATAGTCACATTTATTAGGAGACTGTTAAATATTGGTTCTGAATTGATACTAATGCCTGGAGAATTAGTGTGGTCTATCAGTCAAAGGAAGAGTTAAAGGAGGTCAGATGGTCAGTGGAGTTTTGCTGAGGGTCCATTCTGCAATTGGCCTGGTGGTCCCTGAACCCACTATATGTTATTTCCTCAGTTCTGGAATAGACATACTCAGCAGCTGTCAGAATCCTCGCATTGGTTCCCTGACCTATGGAGTAAGGGCTATCATGGTAG